TTTGTATCACACTTCACAGATTACAGAATGTTTACTACTGTGATGCTAACTGGTCACCATCAAGTGATATCGTTCAGAAGGTGTGTATATAGTGGATGTTTCTGCTTGCTTGTTTGAATTACGCAAAAAACATGTTGATCATGTCTTATCTCTCAGCCACTTTCTCACACCAATGTAAGCAAATGTTGCCATAGAGACCGTACCAAAGTTGTATATACATACCAAAATACTCCCACCTAACAGTAACCCCAGCGCACACTCTACCATTCCAACAGAATTCTTTCAAAAGTGATTAAAAACATCCTCCCTGATGCATCTCACATGTGGATTTCCAAACTTTCGCTATTTTAATTCCTGTGTTTTCTTTAAATAGCCATGTGAAGGTACTACATGTGTATTGTAACCCCCCCACCCCCAAGTACTCGTAGAATTGATTCTTTAACACCTGTAACATCACCTGGACTTAAATACTTAACTGTAGTCAATTTATTCATTGTAAGTCGATTCATATTCAATTGTTTTCTCATTAACTAAGGTATCTGATTCATGACACAGCTTAACCCTTTCACCCCTATGTAACTTTAGTAGACTCTACCATGCACTAATATGGATGAGTCCATTATGGTCTGCAGTGGTGAAAGGGTTAAGGTTGGTATCGTCTTGGTTTCAGGAATTTTTTATTTTTTCCTTTTGAAGCAAAACTTTGATTCATCATGATCATTAAATTTTATATAAACTAGTTAACCCTGCCAATACTAATCTTGTATGGTCTCTCTTCAAGTAGTTGTAATAGACAGCAAATTTCATGTTTTCTTTCAAAAGTAACGACCCTTGGCCATTAATCCAGCAGGTGTTTTTTTTTCACTCAAACAACATTTAGTTGAAGTGTAGATCAAAAGCTGCATAGCGCAGGAAGAATGATGTGATAAAATTTAATACTTGGTTATGAAATATTTATAAATAATAAAGTATTCTTTTCAGGAGGGTGCTCCTGTGTCCATACCTTCCAGCTGATGGAGTGAAGCCACTGGTCCCGCAGATGAGAATTGTGGGCCTGAAACATACAACAGACACCCATCAATACAAAATACTGTTTAAGACCAACCCTTATGTAACTTAAGGATGTATGCTACCTTACAATTTCTACCTGTGATTTGTGTTAGAGTTAAGGATGTATGCTACCTTACAATTTCTACCTGTGATTTGTGTTAGAGTTAAGGATGTATGCTACCTTACAATGTATACCTGTGATTTGTGTCAGAGTTAAGGGATCACTACCTTACACAGTTATACCTGTGATTTGTGTTAGAGTTAAGGGTATATACTACCTTACAATTTATACCTGTGATTTGTGTCAGGGTTAAGGATGTATGCTACCTTACAATTTATACCTGTGATTTGTGTCAGAGTTAAGGGTATATACTACCTTACACAGTTATACCTGTGATTTGTGTCAGAGTTAAGGGTATATACTTCCTTACAATTTATACCTGTGATTTGTGCTAGAGTTAAGGATGTATGCTACCTTACAATTTATACCTGTGATTTGTGCTAGAGTTAAGGATGTATGCTACCTTACAATTTATACCTGTGATTTGTGTCAGAGTTGAGGGATCACTACCTTACACAGTATACCTGTGATTTGTGTTAGAGTTAAGGGTATGGATGGATGGATGACGGGTTTCGCGCCTACCTGAATCCGCCCTTACGGGCATATACTACCTTAAGGGTATATACTACCTTACAATTTCTACCTGTGATTTGTGCTAGAGTTAAGGATGTATGCTACCTTACAATTTCTACCTGTGATTTGTGTCAGAGTTAAGGTTATATACTACCTTACACAGTATACCTGTGATTTGTGTTAGAGTTAAGGGTATATACTACCTTACACATTATACGTGTGGTTTGTGTAAGAGTTAAGCGATCACTACCTTACACATTATATCTGTGATTTGTGTCAGAGTTAAGGGTATATACTACCTTACAATTTCTACCTGTGATTTGTGCTAGAATTAAGGGTATATACTGCCGTACACTTTATGCCTGTGGTTTGTGTAAGAGTTAAGCGATCACTACCTTACACATTATATCTGTGATTTGTGTCAGAGTTAAGGGATCACTACCTTACACATTATATCTGTGATCTGTGTCAGAGTTAAGGGATCACTACCTTACACACCATACCTGTGATTTGTGTAAGAGTTAAGGATATATACTACCTTACACATTATATCTGTGATTTGTGTCAGAGTAAATGGTATATGCTACCTTACACGTACGTTTTACCTGTGATTTGTGTATGAGTTAAGGGTATATGCTACCTAACACAGTATACCTGTGACTTGTGTAAGAGCTAAGGCCATACTACCTTACACATTATACCTGTGATTTGTCTTAGAGCGAAGGATATATGCTATATTGGACAATACACTTGAGATTTGTGTTAGAGTTATATATTTAGTGATTTACCATTAAATACCATATATACATATTTCACATTAGTATGTCAGAATACCATTCATCTACATCTGAAACTTAAAATCTATGGGTTTGAAGCAGTGAATAGAAAGTAGCATTCTGATTGGTCAATACTAAAGGTGATTTCTTCACAGACAGACATATAGACAGCCAGATACATAAACAGAGTGACAGATACATAGACAGACAGACAGACACATAGACAGATACATAGACAGACAGACAGACAGACAGACAGACAGACAGACAGACAGACAGACAGACAGACACATAGACAGACAGACAGACACATAAACAGACAGACAGACAGATACATAGACAGACAGACAGACAGACACATAGACAGACAGACTGACAGATACATAGACAGACTGACAGATACATAGACAGACAGACAGATAGACAGACAGACAGACACATATACAGACAGACAGACAGACATACATACATACAGACAGACAGACAGATAGACAGACAGATAGACAGACAGACAGACACATAGACAGACAGACAGATACATAGACAGACAGACAGACACATAGACAGACAGACAGACAGATACATAGACAAAGGTGCATAGATAAAGCCATTACCATAAAACATGATCATCTGGACATGTGTATAAAAGGTCAGGACAATTTTACTGAAAGTGGAGTACAAACAGCACAACCGGTACTCCAATGAAATCAGGTCAAGATCGTGCGTGACCGACTCATGGTTAACGAAGTACAAACAGCACAACCGGTACTCCAATGAAATCAGGTCAAGATCGTGCGTGACCGACTCATGGTTAACGAAGTACAAACAGCACAACCGGTACTCCAATGAAATCAGGTCAAGATCGTGCGTGACCGACTCATGGTTAACGAAGTACAAACAGCACAACCGGTACTCCAATGAAATCAGGTCAAGATCGTGCGTGACCGACTCATGGTTAACGAAGTACAAACAGCACAACCGGTACTCCAATGAAATCAGGTTAAGATCGTGTGTAACCGACTCATGGTTAACGAAGTACAAACAGCACAACCGGTACTCCAATGAAATCAGGTCAAGATCGTGCGTGACCGACTCATGGTTAACACTAGGTTTAATTGAGACAAGGCCCACAGAAACCTGTCAAACTTCACATGCTCTGATCAATAGCGGCAAAGGAACCCACTCAACAGCTGCCACGTCTGCCTCGACGGCCGTCATGTCTACCTCGGTGGCAGCCAATGACACAACACTCTTTTCACAGTGACTAGACTTTAAACTCCTATTTTCAGTCAACATGTTTCCAGAAACTAACTGATGGAAAAAAAATCTAAAGCTCATGGTTACATATTTCCTCCGAAAATTTTGAAAAAAAAAGTCTGTGTTATAAAAAACATATTCATGCTGTTCACGAGTCTGAAAAAAGAGTTCGATTTTTTTTAAAAATGCCTGATTTCAGAAAAGCAGTATATCTACCAGTAAGTGATGTGTGATTTAAGTCCAAACTCGAATAATATTACCATGTTGCTCTCGGGATTTATAATATTTCTTTTAAAAATTAAAATGATTCTATTGAAAAATCGCCACGACTATAGCTAGTGCTACATCATGTTAGGTGTGAGAGTGTAGTTTGACCTTAGACTATAGCTAGAGCTATACTATGTTATGTGTGAGAATGTAGTTTGACCTGAGACTATAGCTAGAGCTACACCATGTTATGTGTGAGAGTGTAGTTTGACCTGAGACTATAGCTAGAGCTACACCATGTTAGGTGTGAGAGTGTAGTTTGACCTTAGACTATAGCTAGAGCTGCACCATGTTATGTGTGAGAATGTAGTTTGACCTTAGACTATAGCTAGAGCTATACCATGTTATGTGTGAGGGTGTAGTTTGACCTTAGACTATAGCTAGAGCTACACCATGTTATGTGTGAGAGTGTAGTTTGACCTTAGACTATAGCTAGAGCTACACCATGTTATGTGTGAGAGTGTAGTTTGACCTTAGACTATAGCTAGAGCTACACCATGTTATGTGTGAGAGTGTAGTTTGACCTTAGACTATAGCTAGAGCTACACCATGTTATGTGTGAGAGTGTAGTTTGACCTTAGACTATAGCTAGAGCTACACCATGTTATGTGTGAGAGTGTAGTTTGACCTTAGACTATAGCTAGAGCTACACCATGTTATGTGTGAGAGTGTAGTTTGACCTTAGACTATAGCTAGAGCTACACCATGTTATGTGTGAGAGTGTAGTTTGACCTTAGACTATAGCTAGAGCTACACCATGTTATGTGTGAGAGTGTAGTTTGACCTTAGACTATAGCTAGAGCTACACCATGTTATGTGTGAGAGTGTAGTTTGACCTTAGACTATAGCTAGAGCTACACCATGTTATGTGTGAGAGTGTAGTTTGACCTTAGACTATAGCTAGAGCTACACCATGTTATGTGTGAGAGTGTAGTTTGACCTTAGACTATAGCTAGAGCTACACCATGTTATGTGTGAGAGTGTAGTTTGACCTTAGACTATAGCTAGAGCTACACCATGTTATGTGTGAGAGTGTAGTTTGACCTTAGACTATAGCTAGAGCTACACCATGTTATGTGTGAGAGTGTAGTTTGACCTTAGACTATAGCTAGAGCTACACCATGTTATGTGTGAGAGTGTAGTTTGACCTTAGACTATAGCTAGAGCTACACCATGTTATGTGTGAGAGTGTAGTTTGACCTTAGACTATAGCTAGAGCTACACCATGTTATGTGTGAGAGTGTAGTTTGACCTTAGACTATAGCTAGAGCTACACCATGTTATGTGTGAGAGTGTAGTTTGACCTTAGACTATAGCTAGAGCTACACCATGTTATGTGTGAGAGTGTAGTTTGACCTTAGACTATAGCTAGAGCTACACCATGTTATGTGTGAGAGTGTAGTTTGACCTTAGACTATAGCTAGAGCTACACCATGTTATGTGTGAGAGTGTAGTTTGACCTTAGACTATAGCTAGAGCTACACCATGTTATGTGTGAGAGTGTAGTTTGACCTTAGACTATAGCTAGAGCTACACCATGTTATGTGTGAGAGTGTAGTTTGACCTTAGACTATAGCTAGAGCTACACCATGTTATGTGTGAGAGTGTAGTTTGACCTTAGACTATAGCTAGAGCTACACCATGTTATGTGTGAGAGTGTAGTTTGACCTTAGACTATAGCTAGAGCTACACCATGTTATGTGTGAGAGTGTAGTTTGACCTTAGACTATAGCTAGAGCTACACCATGTTATGTGTGAGAGTGTAGTTTGACCTTAGACTATAGCTAGAGCTACACCATGTTATGTGTGAGAGTGTAGTTTGACCTTAGACTATAGCTAGAGCTACACCATGTTATGTGTGAGAGTGTAGTTTGACCTTAGACTATAGCTAGAGCTACACCATGTTATGTGTGAGAGTGTAGTTTGACCTTAGACTATAGCTAGAGCTACACCATGTTATGTGTGAGAGTGTAGTTTGACCTTAGACTATAGCTAGAGCTACACCATGTTATGTGTGAGAGTGTAGTTTGACCTTAGACTATAGCTAGAGCTACACCATGTTATGTGTGA